TTATTAGCTAGATTTTAAAATATAGTTTAAGTATAATAAGTATTTAAAAAGCTTTTTTAATACTATTACTTTATATAATAATCCTTTAAATATAAAAGGAAAGGCTAAAGAGGATTTTATATAGTAGTTATTTATTATTAACAGCTTTTTTAATTAGAGCTTTTTTGCCTTTTAGAAATATTATATAAAATTTAATATTCTTATTATTTACATTCTTTTTTATTTAACTTATATACTTTAATTAATAAATCTTAGTATTCTTTAATAATTAAAAGATATATTTTAAAAAAGGCTATAAAATACTTTATAAAAAGGAAATTTAAACTTTAATTACTATAACTTTATTAGCTTTTTTAAAGTATATATTAGTAAATTTAAAAATATCTAAAAAATAAAAGATTAATTATAAATAAAGTCTTATGCCTATTAAAAAAGTCCCTTAATAAGATTATAAAGGCTATTTTAAATATTATTAAAAAGGCCTAATTTAAAAAAAGAATTATTAAGAGATAAGTTAAAAAGAAGTATTTAAGGCCTTTAATATATATATATAAAGATATTATAATAGTTATAGCAAGCATTCTAGGGTAAGAGGTCTAAGCTAGTTAGTAGGGTTAAGTAGATATTTATAATAACTAATATAAAGGGATAAATTCCCCTAAGGTCTTTAATAAATATACTTTTTTATACTTTTATGTTTTTTTTTCCTTTTTATGCTTTTTTTATATATAATTTTATACTCTTTTCCTTTATATTTAATATTATTAAATTAATTATTTAATTCTTTATTTTATAATAAAGACCTTATTTTAATTAAACTTAACTAATAGTTTATACTTAGCTTATAATTAAGAAGTATTAATATATATTATTTTATATAGTCTTCTTTTTATTATTGCTTTTTACTTTTAAAGTATATATAAAAACTAGTTTAAGAAAGTTTAAATTTAAAGCTAAAAAAAAGGCTATAAGTATATATTATATATAAACTTTTATACTTTTAAAGTATTTATATTAGAAAATACCTAAGGTAAGGGGTGCTAAGATAAATCTAATAATAAGATAGAATACCTTGGGCATATTCTTATATTCCCTCTTAAATATACTACTATTTATAAAGTTAATCCTAAATAGGGCTATAACTAATTTCTTCTTGCCTCTTATTAGCTTATTTAAATATATAGCAGAATATACATTACTTTATAGTGCTCCTAATAAGGCTATTTAGATTATAACTATTAGGCTATCTAGGAGACTAATTATATACTTATCTTCTAGTAACCTCCTTTAGCCTTCTTATTACTATTATAGGAATACCTTTAATTATATTTTCTCTAGAGTATAGCAATATCGGCAAACTAGCTTACTTCTATTTAAACTAAGCTACTATCTATCCATTTATTACTATTTTATCTCTAGTATCTACTAATATTAGAGGCTATATAAAGAAAACCATAATAGTCATTATATACTTAATAGCTTACTGCATAGGTAATACTATCAGGCCATAGACCTTTCAAGCTATGAGCTGGAAGCCTGCAGAGTTCACGTTTATTGGCTATTATGCCATCTGCTTCCTTAATATAGTGAATTGACCAATGGGGAGAATTCCGACTTTAGATATTGTGTGTAGGAGCGGCGAGTTATATCGTATCAAAATTGACGAGGGATGTTGACTATGCGTTGAAGCTCTTGATCTCTGACTGAATGACTGAAGTTCTTCTGTTTTATACCTTCTTAGATCAGATTGTATTCGTCAGCTATTGTGAAGTTTTCCTTACGATCTGTTTCATCCAAGTTTTGACTCTTCTTGGTCATACAGCCCGTATGTCAGAGCGGCCTTGGTGAAACGATGTGATATATCGGCTGATTAGATAAGGACAACACTTGCGAATGAGCCATCAGGCCCAAAGTCAAGTCTTTACACTCTGCTCCAGACGATATGAGACAACAGCTGAAATGGTGATGCCTGTGGCTTTTCGAAGAGTATTGTTCTAGTAATAGAAACTGCCACGATAACTTTTCCCACCACATATTACAGCCTTCATTCGTATAGTCACGTGTAGTTTCAAGGCCAGAATTCTTCGTCTTTTCCGGGTCAAGCTCATTAATATCGTTGACGCACCTCCCCCCTGTCAGGTTTTGGCGCCAAAGGCCCCGACGATGCGATTCATACAAGCATTGCTTCTGTAAATATGCTAGTTAGTAGATTGCCTAACGACCAGTAATGGGAACAAGCCCGTAGAACAACTGAATAATCGAAATTACCCGCTGCACTTATCACCAATACTAACACCGTTGTTGCCAAGCATTGGACAGTAACTGCTCGGGTATCTTTATTATGCTAGGGTAAAGAATCAACCCTATAATATGCCCGGTCTAGCTGTACTGTGTTCTGACTGGTGTTTGCTTGTTTTTATGATATCTCAATGTTCCATGCTGTGCCCATATCCATCCCGATGTCCATTCATGATGTTATTTTTAGAACCGTATTAGTAAGTTATAGTGCATGCATTTCCATGCATGGTATTAATCCTATAAATGATGCTGCTCCTATTGATCTTGTTATTCCCATGTATAATATATCCAAAATTATAGTCACAACTCATGTGTCCAAGATCCAGGCCGCCGTCAGAGGTTCCGTCTCAGGTCCTCTATTGGTCTCTGCCTCTCGGCGGGTCTCTCTATCATCACTCTCATTTTTATCATTATTAGTAGCATGAGTGGTGGCCACGGCATGTTTTGTTCTCTGGCACTTTGCCTCCTCTGGCGAAAGTCTTCTTTTTGGGAGTCAGCACTACCCTGGGTCGCACTTATTGCTACTGCCTGCACTAAATCTACCACAGTTTTTGGTAGGACCTGCTTATTTGTGGTCATATGCCTAGTATAGCATATAAAGAACAAGCCTTTATTATCAAAGAGTCGGTATATACCTTTTTCTTGTTACTGTTGTTTATGGCTCTGGCTCGAGGGTCTCTAGATAATCGGGGCTAGCAGTCAGAGGCCTGTTTGATAAAAGCCTAGCCTCGACTAGGTGGAACATATAACTAGCGGCTTTGGTAGTTAACTAGGCTAAGGTATGTATATACATGAGTGATTTGAGAGACCTTGATGACATGCTCATGGCCATGTATATGGGGTTTATATATAAGTGCATATCTCGTATACAAGTTATGCATAAGATGCGCATAAGAGCGTGCCTTTTGAATTGCATTTCGTTTCTTATGGGCTAATGATTTAGCTCTTCATCAGATACCTCAATCTACCGGGCTATTCTAGTTTAATCAGAGCAACAGGAGCTAGACACGAGAAGTAGGTATAAAAGTGCTTGGTGCGAGGTGATAACTAGCACTGCCAGGACTTTTAGCACTGTATGCATTGGGTGGGAAACTAGGCACCTCTTGCTCATTGCATCTAGATTATTCTAGAGCTACTATAATGGCTTTTCTGAAGGGCTGCTACAGCGGAAGAAATAAGATGCGGAGGAGGTGCGTATACGCTGCGTAAGCCACACCAATACCACAGCCGATGATATTTAAAACAACAGTAGAAAAGCAATCATACTGATACAGTTAAAGATAAATAGATAAAAATGTTTGACCAGGGTAATTATGATATTGATCTGATCGGTACCAGCAAATGAACGCATATAATCTATGCATATGTACCCAAGTTATCTGGTGAGATCAGATAACCTCTACTCAACGTTATATCAAGTCGCTATTTACCTGGCGCAAGGCTATGAATGGCCAATAACTATCAGCACCTGCGTGATATTTCCTCTTTGCTTGATCAGAAATTAAACCTTTGGAAAGCTGAACTTTCGCTACCAAACACTGAGGGCTCGTTATGCGCGTGTGAATGGCATCAGTGCAAGCCCACTAAAGTTACAGATCGCCGCTGCAAGCCCACATCGCTTGCTCTGACTCTCAAAAGGTTTAAAAATTGCTCTCATAGTTATCTTCTGGGCATACTATGACCGTCTCGCCTGTCAGGGTGTGCCCAGACTTTTGTTGCCATAAACCAGAAGTTTAACATAGGGTAAAATTATAAAGGATAAGATCTAGGTATGTAATAGCGACTTAAAAGCCCTTCCACGTATTAGTTAACAAATTCTTGTTCCATATTACTATAATATCTAACTTGCAGGTTACAAACTTAACCGTCGATTCCAGATTACCTGATCAAGGCACTTTTAAAACATCTATTATATGCTACTATCAGAGAATCAGCGCACCGTATGATAGCTTTCTTTCGGCCCTTACACAAAACATCCCCTTCCGAGTTCTTACAATGTTAGTTACCTTCAGCTTTAATACATCTCCATAGTCGTGGCGAGCTGGACCACATTCTTCTCGCTGATGCTGATAAGCCGGTATGTCCACTACATCCGAAAAGTTCAGGACCTCCCAAGGCCCCCCACACAGCAGGGAGGGCTTAAGTCTTCTAGGGCATTAATATCTAGAACTTGTTGGGAAGAAGCAAGCAATTATAAGTCGCTGCTATTATTCACAGAACGAGGGATCAAGCGTAACGAGACGGGCGTTTCGAAGGGCGCGCTGCTTAACAACAAAACGTTGTGTGTTAGGTAGGCTTGGTAAGGGTACTCTAACCACGACGGCAGAATATATGAACTGGCCATTGATTTCCTTGTGCATGAGATCGTTCGCTTCTGAGTCCCTGATGTGCCATACATCCTTTAACACTCTCCGCCCTGTTTGGGACGAGGATAGTTTTTAGCTCTACTAATATTGACGCTTGATGGAGTGTTGTGGCAGCCTATTGTATTCCCAGTAGCTGCCCTAGGATTCTGATTAGTACATTGGTTGATGATTTGTTACTCTTCAGTGTTTCTTGTAGTAGTGTCTGATCATATGAGGATAAACGGAAACAATCGGGCATCACAACTTCATATAACTCATCTTCTGACATCTTCATGGCCATCTAATACCAGTTCCGTCTATCACTAGATATTACCGGTAAACACTGAGCTAATTCATCTAGTTAATGAGTCGTTTGAGATTGTCTCTCAAAGCGTCCTCGCCTTCGTCCCATCCAGGCTCTAGTTTATCGCCGAAGTTAGCCCCGTAGCGGTTATGCTCGTCAAATAATGCTGCCGTCCCAAGCATCTGGTACGCTGGGGAATTGATTCGGTCTTTAACCCCCTTAACTGTGTCCTGTTCCCAAAGTACCCTGGCCTTGTCGACAAACCCATCTAGAGGGATGTCAATGACTTTCCAACCTCCGCCACACGACTCCTTGATTATGGCTGCCAGCTGATTGGTCGATACAGTATGGCTTGCAAAATATGCAGGCTTATTGTGGAACCGAGCAGGGTCGTTCAGCACCGCTACAACAGCGTCTCCCGTGAGCGCAAGACGGCTCATGCTGTACTTCTGATCCCCCGATCCAAATCTGGTGATAGTACGAGCCTTTTGATCAATCCAGAATTTACCGGTTTTGATTCCCCAGTCAAACCACCCACCCACAATGACGGCCGTCCATGCAAGCGTGCCGTTTGAACCAGATACAAGCTCCTCGAGCTTCTGCTGAGCCTGTCTCTTAGGCTCAAAGATCTGGAGCTCATCCGCATGGGGATTAAACGTATCGGAGCTGAAATCTGGCGTGATCAAGTGAGATACGCCCGCTGCTAGCGCAGCCAGGACGATTGTCTCCTGGTGAGCAGCGCCCGCAGGGTTGAATGCTTCGACAACAGCATGCTGACCCTGGAGCGCAGTAGTCATTGCGGGTAGGTCACCATAGAGGGCCTTTTTGACAGTTATGCCCGTGTGCACATGTTGGCTTGCTCCTGGGCGTGCGACGATTGTAACCTCGAATTCAGCTTGTAGCAGGGCTGGGACGATGACCTGGCCCAAGTTGCCCGAGGCCTATCAGAAAGTCTTGTTAGTAGGCGCCATATCATGTTCCCTTATATATAGGACTTACGCCGAGGATGGCAACTTTCTTGATGACAGACATTGCAACTTGGCTTGGAAACTGGAATCCTGATTGTACCTTTGGCCAAGGCGGCTACACATCCCAATATATACGCGTGTACAAAGCTAAACCTTCTTAGCCTACCATGCCCTTGTTGCATCTCAACAGTTAGCTTTGGTATGGACCAGATGTTTACTGACAAGAGTAAATGCTGTATCGGCCGCTCCCCTGCGCACTCAAATAACAACTTAGTCATCAGACTCGGCCCCATTCCTTTTTACGGATTCCATTCGAAAGATGGCTCTATCAGCATTGACAACAGGCTAGACTGCCGCTAACAGCCGACTAAGTTACTGTAAGCCATGCATCGGCCTCTCCCCTGCACACTCCATCTTAAGTCGCTCATTAGTGGGGCTGCTGACCTTGTTCTTCAGCCTTTCATTTGTAAGCCCGGCTCCATCGGCATCTCAAAGAACTAGACGGGGGGGCGAAAAACGTTGACCGATGCATGATTGTGAGGAGAAGAAGGTCAATTGGAAACCTGCAACGGCCGATGTATATGGTGTGAAATCAATCAGACATCGCCATGGCAGCTTCTATCCAGGTATCGGTGAAAGCATCCAATGTCTGCTTGTCCTGCCGGGTCCGGAAACAAAAATGCGATCGGGCTCTCCCGAAATGCTCTCGATGTGCTGCGTAAGCTTTCTACCATGAATTCTTAGGCTCAAGGCTCGACGGCGATTTTTCTAATGACATAACAACAGGAAGTTAAAACACTGCGATTATACCGTACACACCAACCTCTCATGCCATGCATACAACGACCAGCCCGTTGAGGCTCTCATACAGCGTCGTCCTTCTGGATATGACCTGTCTTGGCGAAGCTCAGCCGGTTTGCTTCAGGCGGTATATGAAATTCAACAGTCCAGCTTCATAAATCTAGTATATCGCATTTTAGACCTTACCGGAGTCACCGTTCCTCACCTTATTCAGGACTACTTCGTCAAAATCCATCCATGGTTTCCAGTGCTCGGAAGGAACTTATTACAGGAAAGTTGTTCCACCTTGTCTATAGGTTCGAAACCGTCGTCACTGTTACGTCTTCTGGCCATCCTTCTCGTTACTCGTCACCCCTGTGGTCCAGAAGAACATCCCACTACAAGCGTGTTATACACGACTCTCAAACAACTTGTGGTGACTTCAAGGCCGGTTGCAGATTCGTGCTGTGATCTTCTCCAATGCAATCTCCTGATTGCCCTATATGAGTACGGGCAAGGATTGACCAACGAGGCATTTCTGACACTAGGCTCGAGCGTCGCACTGCAGAAGTTGGCCTCTTCTTTCATGAGACAGATAAGGTCCAGTGAGGCATATATCCCAGATATTAGTCACTACGAAAATATAATCTTGATACTGGACAGGTAGTATAATCATACGCCCTACAACATATTTTAACTAACAAGATGTTAGGACGATATCTTGGTCTGGCTTGGACCACCCAACTCCCCTCAATTGCTATCCACAAGAATCCACTGATGAGGGCTTCCAATTTGATTTACCCTCTCTAAACAGGACTTTGTCAATGTCTTTGGATGACACACTCAAAAGGCTTCAGTTGACTTGCCAAGTTGCATTGACAACTGGGCAAGCATTTCAGTACCTCTATGAAGTCAAAGACGGCAACAATTTATCAACCGAACTTGATGTTCACGTCCGCAGGGTAGAAAATATGGTAGCGGCCTTGATGAGAGAGAAGCAGAGTCATTCATGGATGTTTTGCGACGGCATTGCCATGGGTTTGAGGTAAGGATCTTCTTAGGACTTTTCTATCCCTAGCACAGACTTATTTTTTGTTTATACATATAAGCTGCCTTCTAGCTCTTCACCAGACTGTGGTCAAGCAGGCAAACGCCCCCTTGGGCTCTCAGGAGCACTTGGCTCTGCGGTCATCACAGCGCATGGCTTGGGAGATATGCAAAGTTTCCATGGAAATGATCAATCCGTCCAGTGTGTCGCAATTGTCATTTGTTGGGATGTGCTATGTCTTTCGAGCTGCTGTAGTCCTATCGGACTCGTTAGGGCTTGATGTGGTAGTGGAAGACTTGGAGGAATTATTGCCAACACTTCGCTGCTTCAGCGAGAGATGGGCTGTTGGAGGTATCTATTTCTAATTACTAAGATGACTTTAGGAAAGGTGAAGCTAATCAGATGAATAGTTGAATATCTAAGGCATATTGAATTGTCTGGTAAATAGTTAATGAAATAAGATATCTCTACGCCCTACCTTTAAAGGCGATATTTAGAAGTATCTATTAAATCTATTAATATGGTTTAATATGTGTTAACTTTATCGTACCTTAATAAAAGCTGTTATCAATCTCATCATAGAGTCACTGAGTTAGAAATAATAATAATATAGTTCAATTCAAAACTTGAATTTCAGAATATTTCTGAGGTACTATATTTTAGCTTAAGGTTCTGGGGTATCGGCGAAAGGAATACCACCAGTACCTCTAGCACTCTTAACATCCGCTGCATCCACCAGGTCTCTTAGCTTCTTGAGATCCTCCGGAGACAAGTCGACATTCAGGGCAGCCGTGTTATCCTCCAAGTACTTGATGTTATTCGTTTAGAGCCAGCTGACCTGGCGTGATTCCCTTCTCCATCGCTATCCTCTGGAAGTCGTCAACGAGCGTCAGATTCTTGGCGAAATTATCGCCTTGATACCGCGGGATCAGACGACGAAAATCATCTTTGTCAAAATCATCTATCGACGTGTACTTTCCTGTCATTATGCTACGTCTAAGCGGAGAGTACGCTACAATGGCGACACCTAGCTCACGCGCAGTTTGCGGAAGGTGAGCTCCGGGAGCTCCCTCAATATCCAGAGTCCATGGGTTATGCTCAACCTGCACTGCGTGAATCGGGTGAACTGCGTATGCCCTGCTCAGTGACTGAGAGGAACATTCCGAGATACCGATGTACTTGATCTTGCCCTCACTTTTACCAAAAGATTAATAACCAAAGGCCACTTGAGAAGCATGTCATTTTATCGCTTACTTTTTCAACTTGACCAGTTCTTCGATGGTCCTCTCGATTAGTTCATTTTCGAGATCTAGGTGTGCAGTTGCGTCGTGCAGGGACACGGTCCCGTCGACGACGTAAGGTGGTGTCAGACATTACGTGTATTCGGTCCATTGATGCAGGTTGGTGTATTCATCTTGCGTTGTGTGTAAAATCTGCCCCTTGAAGGCTTTACTGTTAATCTTAGTATCCCTGCTTCGACGTGATACCCCAGCACTGTTCAACACTTACGGTGAGCCAAGCGGTAACATACAGCATAAAATAATCAGTATAAAATGCGATAACATAGGCCCTAATTCTCTTTCGAATAATATGCAGGATCTAATATAAGTCAGGAAATTACTTATTAGTTCGACTTCATATACGATATATAGATACACTTTCACCGTTTGATCGAGTTCGCTCTCGACAAACACGTCTTCAACACCACGTAAAAATGTTGCCAACAATAGAGAATACCATGAACAACTTTAGAATAGTCTGAAACTGCAACAGTACCCATCCTTTAATTACCTGCCTCCACGGATCAGGTGACTCCTGCGCCTCTTGGGAGCCCTTGGCAGACTTGCTAAGTACACAAAAGATATAACAAACCCTCTCTGCCGACTTATAAAATTGTTAGATACCGATCCTAGCGCCATGGCCATGCCCAGGATGGAGAACGAAACAGTCTTTTTTTCAGTTTGCCGTTACCTGAGCAACCCATAATCTGAACTTCATTCGAATTGTTCGGAACATTATGTTTCTCAACAGCGTGGCTCGTCTATAAGACTGTCGGTCTGTTTGGTTTCGTAGCACTAATTCAGAGTTTGTGGTTGCCAATATGAGAGACTCCGAAGACATGAACAGCTTAACATACCCTTTGCTGGAGAATGGGAACCTCGTTAACAGCTCAGCATTTGGCTTAGCGAGTAACGGATGCCTTAGTAATATTAGCGTAAGGGTAGCTGGCTTTGCTGTTCCAAGCTTTAGCATGACGCTGCTTGATGATGAAGTATATCAAGCTGCCAATCTCCAAAATTACCACAGCAATGGCGACATAGAAGGTGTACGTCTGTGATATTTTTGTTAGCATTCGAACTTATGCATAGGAGTCTTAATAAAGAGGCGAAGGAGTTGAGGACAACGGCTCGGCGCATATAGCAACGTACGTTGGTGGTGCACATCGTGGCCCAAGGAATATCAGGGTTCTTGGCCGACTTGCGCTTGCAGCTCCAGGACCAGATGTCCCAAATGCTCTTCTTCGCCGCCAACGTATCAGCCAGTTTGAAGTAGACCAATCCACCAATCCAGGCTACAATCAGGACACTGGAAGAAAAGTAAGTCGCAATAGAGTGCCACCGAGCCTGACGAAGACCTCGGAACTAGCGCAACGTTAGTTGGCAAATAACAAAGAAAAACTCGAGGCATCATAACCCTTCGTCAACATGGAAATTGGTAACGTACGGGGCCGACATGAGTTAGTATTGCGAACAGTTGAAAGACAATAGTAATGAGGGCGACACAGAGTATGGTATGAGTTGGCTTAACGTCAAGAACAGCTGGCCACGCCTTAGGCTTGAACTTGCCCTGGGGATTAGTCATGGCGTCGTTCCGTGTTCTGAACCACACAGAGAGAGCTCCGGATTGGACCGCTGCCACGGTAGTAGCAATGAGGAGCGAAATACCACGGGCGAAGGCGCTGGAGTAGCTGGACGGAGCTTGCACTTTGCGCCGGCGTGTATTTTGTTTCTTAATAAGTTGCTGTTCGTCGGTGTTAAGCTCTAGAGGGCCATCTTGTGGTTCCTCGACGGCATAAGCGGTGCGAGCGAAAGGCTCATATGCGGTATTGTGGTTATAATCCATTGTTGTGGCAACTAGAAGCGTGGTAGAGGCGTGAAAGCTGGGCAACTGTTAAATAAGCGAAAAGGTAGGTTGTCTTTCGGGCTGGTTTTGGCGACAAAGTGAGTAGGCATCGATCTGTGAAATATCTAGTTATACCATGCACATCCATGGATCAAGGCCCAGCTGGGCGGGCCTGGTCTGACGGTGTTTGGTGTGCTAACCCCAGGCTTCCATCTAGGGTCAACAGAGGTGTCTGCCCCCACTGTCGTGAGCCTGACGGAACCAACAAGGGTCTAGAGCGTGTTAGTAGGTCGGAACTGCTGAGATGAGCACCAAGAGACCCGAAACCGACATTATGGTCAATTGCGGATCGACACTAAGGTTGAGAATCCACGTATGGCCAGACCACCCTATAATATCTTGATTAGTTATCGAACGGTAAGCTCAGCCAGCTAGACGTCATTGGACGGGTTCCTGCGCCTGAGTCTCAATCACATAGCCACCAATTATATTTAGACATCTTGGCTACGTTACTGACCCACTGTATCCCAGATCTTTCGGCTAAGCGGCACTTAAACCAGAACGCCCATTGTGAAGAAAAGGTCAAGGGACAGGATCCACCCGCACCAAAGTCCCAATTTCCAGTATGAAAGGAGTCTTAGCGCACTATACTCTCACGTCGTTCGGAGGTGCTTACTAAAGCTTGAGGGCAGCCAACCTAGCTAGACGAGGAGCAAGAAATGAAATTTACAAGGAGTACATGTTCTCTGGAACTTAGTAAGCTAAGGTGAGCCTAGCAAGGCAAAGCCAGTTCGTACTCTAGACTACATGTACCTAGACTGCACAGATTGGGCCATGTCAACGAATACCTGCTAAAGCTGTATTGGCTGTCTTCACAGGGCTATTAGTTTATGTCAGACTATAAAGACTCACTTTTTCCCCGATGCGGAAAGCACTCTTGGACTTCATTCGTGCTTGAGCAATTTTCGCCTCGTATTTGGTCTTTGACGGCAACGCGAGAACACCCGACAACTTTTAACGCTATCGCCCAAATACTTTTCACCGTCATGCGTGGGCTTCTGGACGCCTCCCTTCTCCTTGGCCTGACGTCGGCGGCCGACGTCTCTCTCTTACTCTTCAGTGACGCACAGTGCACCGGAGATATCATCAGCAACGTTCACTCAAACCCGGCGAATGAGCATGCCGGGAGCGGCTGCATTGCCACAAGTACATTCCAGTCAGCTGGGCTTGCCAGTGTCGATTCAGGCTTCAAATGTAATGTTTACGCAGACACTGCCTGCCAAAACTTTCTGGCCTCCGTCGAATCGATCTCTCAATGTGAGACCCTCATCGGGCGGGGCGCCATCTGCTTCAGCCAAGAGTCTTTTGAAAACCCACTTGCGAACATCAAGGCTCAAGTCAGCATTGGCAGCTCTATAGTACACTTCAACGAAGTCAAGTCCTTCGAAATTACAGACGGGGCGCTTAAGGGTGCTTGCGGCGGCACTGGCTGCGACCCAAATGCGCCATTCAAGAGAACACTTAAGAACTTCCCTGGGTCCAGCAAGTGCATAGTGACTGGCACTGCCCGCGGTAACTACGACAACACCAACGAGCGCGATTATATGACACAGCTTATCTCGACGTCTGCGCTCACGGCAGGCTCTGTTGACCATGCGTCTGTTGACGGGTTCGGCAACCCAGACCTGGCCGAAGCTCAAATGCCAGGCTTCATCCAGGTGGTTCTCCAAGATGATGCGGGAAACAACAAGGCGCAGATGGAAGTGTCGATTGATGTTTCCTGCTCGAAGCCATCAAATCCTGGCTGCGGTTCATTTGCGGCTGACGCAGTAAAAACTGCTCTCGAAAAAGTTCCTGCCGTTGGAGGATTGCTGGCCTCGGGTTTTGATGTTATTTGCAATGCGGGGGCCTAGGGATCAGGGCGGTTGTCAAAGGAGAGCCATGCATCGTTCAGAGTAGATTCCTTTATAGTTTGCAAGTAGTCTCATAGTATTCGAACTTATATCCTACCGAGCTGAAACTAAGATAATGGTAAATAAGATCCGACTCGTCAGAAAGAGCAGGAATTGTCTTTTGAGGCGAAAGGAGGCAGGGGTACCCTATACTAATAATTACAAAACTAACTCTACTAGAGTGGCGCCTCGTCCTCCCGCTGACGGGTAACAAGCTTGATACGATGCGCCGTATGTGCCGGCGATATGCTGGATAGTGCGGTCTGTTGACACTTTTCGCAGACAATGACATTTTGTAATTAGTGTGGAGATAGACTGCCTTAGCTCAGCACGTCCAGTGCCCAAGTAGGGAACTTTTTGGGGCCTATGGCCCTCGGACGAAAAATATACATACATACATACCCCTCTCGCTACCCACTTATTTACCTCTTTCAGTCCCCTCTCTCCTACTAAGAGCTAGAGGTTAGGAAGAAGAGACCTAGGCTATATAAGGCTGGAGGTTTAAAAGAGCCTCCTATTCTTCGATCTAGCTCTATCCTTCTTAGCAGAGAATCTAGCAGTAAGTGGAAAAGAGAGGAAGGAGACTAGAGCTAGCCGCCTAGTTGCCTTTTTAGGTAGCGATGGTTAAGCTTGCTCAATGGATACAATACCAGGCTGGGCTAGGAGAAGCTAGCTGCCTTGGCTGTGTGAGGCCTGGAGTCGTGCCTTTTATAAAACCACTTTTTGCCGACTCTAAGTCTCTTATAGCTGTAGGAAGCAGGCTCTCTCTTATATTTAGCTTATAATAGCTTTTAAGAGATAAGGATCTCAAAGAGGATCTTTAAAGAAAATCTCTCTTTTTATCTTTCTTCCTTATTTTATTTTATTCTCTTTAAACTATATCTTTAGTTAGAGGAAAACCCATAGGCCGAATAGCTTAGATAGTAAATACTAACTCTCTAACCCTAACACTTCTCTCTCTTATTCTTATATCTCTCTTTTTACCTCTTTCTTATCTCTCTATTAGTTATTTACTTTTTATTCTTTCTTAGCTATTCCCCTACTTTCTCTATCTCTTAGGTCTCTCTTTTATTTTCCTTATATCTTATAAGCTATATTTTTAGTTAAAAAAAACCTTTGGGCAAAGTAGCTTAGATAGTTAATACTAACCCTATCCAAACCCTAATCCTAAAAGTAGGAGTTTGCATTATAAAAACAAGGTATTAAGTTAGAGTTAAAACTGGAGTTAGGTTGCAAGTCTGTGGCTAGGCCGAGCGAGCTGGTGTAGTCAAGTTATTCTGTATAATCTACCATCGAAAAGTCAAAGACTTCGACTTGCTCTACAGCCGGAGTGAAGTCAGCTAAGACATCTTCTAGTAGGTTACTTACAGGCACAATCTGCTCTATATCTCTATTACCCGGTTTCTTACTATTATTAAACTCTTAAGCACTACAGAGTAGACTAATAGTAGATTATTTAATATACTTAAGGATTTACAGATTCGCAAAACTGAGAGTTCGTAATGAATCCATGTGTTCAACCATACGAAGATTTTGACTCGGACCCCAGTCAGTCTCAGTCAGTCTCACGCCAGATTTTGGATTATGTTAATGCAATTAAGTACGGCAGCACGATATGACTTCTCGTATCGATTCCAAAACGCCAGCATTTTGCTTTACAGGCTGGCATCGGTGCGGCTAAACTACCCTATAATACGAGCAATTCTCGATTATCTCGGTGAGGAAACTCTCTCCTTTAAAATGTTTTCCTTGGCACCCGCTGTTAGCGCTCTGCTAGGGCAAAGAAATTTTACAGGCCAAAATCAGTAAGTGCAGCTGTGGGGCCCTAATAGCTACCAGAAGAAAGGGATTCAGAGAGTTGACCTTTCTTCGTGACGAGTGTCCCCAACGACAATGAGTTTCGCGAGCTCCTGACATCGCCCTCGGGCGCTATTTCCTACGTGGTTTTTGCGGCTTCTTTTTACCTCGGCATTCCGGCTTCGCGAGCCCTCGACATCCGGGCTCTGCGCCCTCGATTCCCCGTACGACCGACCTCTGCAGCCCTGGCTGCCCAGACGACATTCGCGGCATCCTATCGCTCGACATTGGAGGTCATCGCACCCTCACCTACAGCTTTACGTTGCCTCGACCGACCTCGGCAGCTTTTGCTGCCCGAACAATACCAGCAGCCGTCAGCTGCTTGACTTCTTGGGCCCCTATCTCGACGCACGGGCCCCAAATGGCTCGCTGCCCTTTTTGCAGCTCGGAAGCTACATAACCGACCTCTGCAGTTCGTACACTGCCCAGAGAACCTCTTTTCCTTTGCAGCCTCGGCTGCCGCCCGGAACATAACCAGGCCTCGATGATTCGTCTCACTGGCTGAGACGACTAGACATAACCGCTGGGTCGAAATGGTATAGAGCTTACCTGGAGATCGTGGAACGAGGCGAATGCCTTGTCCACAGAACAGCGTTCTGGCCGCCTTGGGTTTTTCTCCTGTGAGGGTTTTCCCCAAGGATGCACGGTTCTAGGTTGCAGCTACTGGCGATCTTAGGGGTCATGAATTTCCTGCCCCAGGGTGTGGAAAGATCTATCTGTGTAAGAGAATTCTTGGCTGGAGAGGGATGTGTTCCCGCTGACGGGATGCCCTCTTGAAGTAATGCGCCTTTGTGCCGATGATATGCTGGATGAACTAGATGGAGGCGCTGCTGGAGGGAAGCTCTGCTAAGATCAGCTGTATTGATGTCCTATAGGACGTGCCTCGCCGATAACTACTGTAGGGCTGGCTACGAGTAGAGAGGTGCCTTTTGGGAGTGTTGAGTAGAGAAAAGGCTCGAGCATGTATACGGCTCCGTTCCAAGAGGCCTTGCAGATGACCTGAGCGAGGATCAGTACGGCAGCGATTGTAGATAGTTTAGCTCAGCACGTCCTGTGCTCCAGTAGGCGATTCTGGATCGCAAGAAGTGCAGACCGTGTCCCGAAAGACGCTTACCCAGTTAATGCAAGAGAGTCTGGTAAAACGGGCTGAGATATTAAGGGTGCGCTTTGTCCATGCCGAGGGGGACTAGATGAAAGTGAGAGCGCCACACAGAGCTTGGAAAAGATGGCTGGTGATTCCGTGTCAATTCATTGACAATTGCTTCTTCCCAATGTAGTATCTAGTCTAGCTCAAATATGACACTCAACTGTGAATTCCCTGACGTACAATATGGGCCCTCATACCCATGACGAGTAGGTGCTTGGATGTGCAATGAGGCCATCGTCACCACTCGAATGTATCCATCCATACACTATTTCAGTAAGCAGCTCCGACTCTGCATGGCAGATGCTGGAGCCCTGGGCTTAGTAATATACCCCGATCATTTCTTGGCTTTTTATCATGGTGTCACTAGGTATGATATTTGCTCACAGTTGCGCGTCCGGCACCGTGAAATATCACAGGAGTCAACATCACCAGATGGGTAAAACGCAACGAAATTTGGGAGATCCTCCAGCTCCAGTGTTCCGCTGGCGGGGTTTCTCCCAACTGCCTTGACAGCGGGCTCTTTGTCAAGTGCTGCCGATCACTCGGTGCTCCCAGTGCCTACTGTTGGTAAACTCATTTTCCTGTATCAATGGAAGAGCATGTCACTCTGTCTTACATCATAGACAATGTACTTTGTGGCAACCTTTTTGGTTTCTTTCTGAACCAGAGGGGGTCTTGGTGATCGGTTTCTCGGTTTCGGTCGCATCTTCTTGTCTTACCACGTTATTGGATGGTATGGTTTGAGGGCGGAGGGGGGCTTGCAGCTTCTGGGCGTGTTTCGGCCAGGAAAGCATTTTGCCCGCGAGGATAACTCGGGTGAATCAAATTGAGCTGGATGCACTTTATCATCTGATAGTCTTTCGTCCGTTTTCATGTCCTTCGAGTCCAAATTCATAAAAAGATTCACCAAGTCCTAAACATTTTAATATCCCCGGCATATAAAAAAAAGTTCATACTTCCGCCTATCTAATTGCTAAAGCTCGACCATCGCTACAAATTGACAAATACTTGATCGACACTGCAAGTCAGATTCATAGCAAATTTGGTGGGTGACCGCGCTTCCGGTCCTTATCATAGCTGGGTCGGATGAGGTAGCCGTAGCTGAGTAATCGAGTGTCAGATATTGGGCGACATTCTCCTCTTAGGCTTTGTTTGCCACGAGAAGAAGTGCTTGTTCCTCCTAAGAGCATAGATGGCATTTTAGTGCTTCCTCTGCCTGGACTAGGGGTTTGAGGAGACTGCGACCGACACCGGCAGTTCCGACATGATTGAACCCGAATTATTATGAATGTAGATTTGGTAGGTTGTTTTCGAAGTATCTGGAGGCCACTTCCCAGTACCAACTCTTCATATAATCTAACCTCATCCTAAACAAGTAGGGTATTTAGTGACGATGATGGAGTCCACGTCCTGGTCTGCGGTGTCGTTCAATAGAAGCATTTCACCACAATGCACTGTGTGGTGGTAGTCGCGAATGTAACCATCAATGGGCCTGCCACTCTCCATCGCCCGGTGTAGTTTCCTCCACATATACAGACAGTGGTACATGTGGTATCTGTGCGTCACATAGAGGGACCCATGCTGACCTGTGAGCACCCCGGCCCGGTCGGCCTGCTTACTCATATGCATGTCCATATACCAGCGCCAGTCGTCCGCGTCAAGAAAATCGTCAATTAGATCCTGGTCGTAACAGGCGACGGGAAGCCAGGAGAAGCTCATAGGGTCAAAACGACACCCTTTATCAAGAGCGGAGGCACGATTAGGACCGCAATGAGACGCGTTTTGCTCTCCATATCCAGATACAATGAACGCTTCAGGGGAAATGCCAAGATGGGAAGAATGAAGGATGGGTCTGTAGACAGAGACGCCCAACGGGATGAGAAGGGCGATACAAAATGTGCAGACTATAATGAAGGAAACGAGGGGGCAGCTCATCATAACGTTGCTCCCTTGATACTGAGTAGCGAAGATTCTATGCAGGACGTCAGTAGTATCGAGCTGGTGCATAGCGTCACGATATAAATAAACTGTCAGAGCTACTGAGGTCGCTACATTGATACACTACAATTTACCACAATCAACGGCTTGCTCTAGCCGATAGGACATTAGTTACTGATGCTTACACACAATGCCCGATTTTCATCGTTATCTCCATAAGGCCCCTCGGTGTTAGCGGTGAAGTACCGTGAAAGCCTTGTCAGGCCCCAGCATTTCGACGGATTACCAACCCCTCCGTAATCATCTAGTCCTTGTAAGTCGCTCATATCGAACCCTAGGGATTACGAAGTGATGTCCGAGTGCTGACCTCGATCGCGAGCTTTCCGTCCTACCCACGTCTTGATCATTGGTGCTGTCGGCCGCTTCATCGGCCCGGAAGCATCTTGTGGTAGCAATAGAGCTGAGAACAACTGGGATGGGAATGTCCGCAACCTTCATTTGCGAGTATGGGATTATATGCATGCCGTAAGGTTTCCCATCTAGGCTAAGGCCTTAGTCAGTAGCAACTGACTTGACTCAGAGGAGTTGTAACTGCGACTCTTGCCTTCCAAGCATATACACCTCCAAAATATATTTAAGGCCGTCCCTAGTTGCGGCCTACAACACGTCACCTTCCCATAACATACACCTTTCCCAACTCTGTCACCATCGCTCATACGAAGTCACCACCTCTTGCCAATCTGTCTTTCTCACATTCGTCTGTCTCAACATGAAGTGCGTTTGGCTTCTCAGCGCTCTCGTCGCCTCCAGCTGTGCGGTTGGACTTCCCAAGTCCGCACAGTCGGTCTGTCCTCCATTCGAGGTGGACGAAATCAAGAATTTCCTCGCTACTAACCCCGAGCCCGCCCTCGAAGCTCGCGGTGATGTCGAGAAGCGCGCCTGTATCTGTGCTGGCTCCGCTGGCTCTAATGGATGGCGCTGGTGCCCTTGTGGCCCTCGACAGGTACAGTCGCTAACGCATCTGCGCATTTCACCTAGTAATCGTGTTCGTGCCTTAAAGATTGCTGACTGCTGCCTTGTAGATCTAACGATGATTTGAGATCGCCTCGGATCTTCGAACACGAAAGGTGTAAAGCCTTGTACAGCATTTGCTTCCTTCCCATGCCCAGAACGAATTGGACAGACAATGAAAATGACGCGAGGTAGATGGACCGAAGACAGGGTTATACTACATAATGGCTCAAAGCTAGGATTGGCCATCGACTACTGGCTCGAAGCCGCTAATTGAATCCAAAGGCCCCTTGCAGCATCATAAATGTACCTTTGTACCATTGCTTCGAAGTGACTGATTCAACAGCTTGTGTTGGGTTTGAGTGAATCGTGTTGCTTTGTTCTTCTTCATAGCTAATGGTGCTGTCGTGGGTGTGACGGTAGACGCCGGTGAGCTGGCTTTAGCGCTGCCAACAAATCAAATGCAATCAAACAAACTGCAAAATATACCGATCAAATATGCCAAGATCTTATATCAAACAAACAAATCCAATTCCATGGATTTAAAATAACAATTAGTATATTTGATGCATGATACACGATACATAATTGAGGATCGTATCTGCCAAGCTGTCGAGCGCATCAGTGCCCGTCTGTTGACTTACCTCTTCTCGATGCGTACCATTCCCTACCGATCGACGCCTAACCCGATGGAATCCAACGATATCATGCTTCCTTCGCCTCTACCTTCCGCCTTGGCTCCTCTCCGCCCACCAAGAGATTTGGCGAGTCAGTTCGAACTGACGATATGGGTGCCTTTACCGGACTATCTTACTATTACAGATCTTCTGTAAGCAGTATAGAGGAACAAATGATATATTCTGGAAGAGTCCTTATATCAGAAAGGCTCTAAGGGCCGGAAGAGCTGGATTAAGCACCATAGATTTTATTCTTATTAAGATTAATACTAATAATAGTTTGCTAAGCCCTTACTAGGCCTGTCGTTTATGCGATGCGAAAGGTCAGCCTAAGTTCTTCGCCGCTGCGGCTACGAGTTCGGCAGCTGATCACCTCTGTAAGCATGTGAATGTGACGTCGCGAGCTCGAACACCATTGACCAATGTAGATCCCATAGGATTTTCGAGAGCAGTAAAGGCGCTAATACAGATCCGTTAACCAATAAAACTGAACGGCCTAAGCGACGGCGATTGCAGTACAGCGCCATGCCGCATGCAAGAGTCAGGGTAATCCGAGAACTGAGCCTAGGACTGCTGATCAATACCAATATTCCTTTTTCTTTTGTTAGCAATATATTCTTCTAACTTACCTGGCATTTTCACTCTCAACTATCTGACCAGATACCATAGATTCGGCAATCGATAAGCCGTCTGTTGGATGAAATGCACGAGTATAAGAAGGACAGGGTCAAACAGGAGCTCTTAGATGCCCCTACCAGAATCCATCTAGGGTTCGACCTGTCCTTTGACTTCCAAACCCACGACAAATCCAACATGACATCGACAACCTCTGATGCCAGGCAGCAGAAGCCGCAGCAAAGCCTCACCTTCGCCGCTTCTCCAGCAGTCGCTCCATCGCTGTGCGACGAAGAGGCATCCTCAGCTGCCGGAGAATCCAGGGACACCCCTATTTGGATTTCTGACGACGAAAGCGTCACAGAAGATGAGGACGACGATGAGGGTCGACATTTCGACAACTCACAATCACGCGCAACACCTACAACGACGATCAGCACTGTGGACTATCTGGGTAAGTTCTCCCCGCTGTGATTCTTTCCGATGTAGGCCCTGACATCCTATCTATAGATATCACAGGTTATAGTCCCGACCCTCCTCCTGATCCTGTACCGAATCAGCGATCTCCTTGCCAGACGAATTTCACGTCCGCTGGAGACACGGCGGCTTGTATAGATGCCAGCTTCGACATCTCGCCTACGAGCCCCGACAGTCAGCCACGTCTGGGCGTGTCAGACGAACAACAGCTTGCCACCGGAGCCAGCAGCGAGCCGGGCATCATGACAGCCGATGCTATCTCTGACCAGGGGCCTTGTCAGGAGGCCCAGAGTCCTCCGGATCCCCCCTCAGTATGCACACACTATCCACATACTGCCAGTCCCGTGGAGGAAGCCCAGCCGCCACTCCAGGAGAACGAAGCGTTTGTGGGCAATTCATGCGATGATGGCATTCCTGAAGCCGGTACCCTAACTCCCGTAAGATACTCACCCGAACCGTATCGAGAACAAGACCCGGATGACGCAAGCTGCGCGTCCAGGGATGCCGAGTCCGAGGCCAGGGAGGCTAGATCCGGACCGCCATTCGGAGCCCGAGTGTCTCCCCCGTCTCAGGAGTTGCCGTCCCAGCGCCGTTCTCGTCGCAGATCCTCACATGCATATGAAACAGTGCAAGACAAGGATAGCAATGTAGACACTGAAGGCTCTGGCAGTGAGGATGGCCTCGGCGTTCTAGAATGCGTGCGTGACGAGGACTATTGTCCTTCGCCTGCGGAAGTTCGGGGACATGGCTCTGGAGACGATTCCGATGATGAAGAACAGCATGGTCGCAAGCGTCGCAGGGTATCTCAATCTCCCCACAACTCGGTTCGCAGTACCCCTGCTAGTGCTCGGAGCCCTCGCCAAAGACGATCGACAAGACGTACCGCTGAGTTGCCGAGAGGTCGCCGAATGTCTATATGTGACATTAAGAGTCAAACACTATCACAGGCAAGACCAGTCCCCTCCGAGGCCAGCACGTTTCTTGCTCGATTCAAGGAATGGCCTTTTAGTAATGTTTTATTAAAATGCATTACCGAGGGCAACAAGGCGACATTTTAATTGCAGTTTGAATAGACCCTTGAGCCATGTTAGCCACCATATGCTGACCGATCGGTAACGCATCCTAAGAAGGACAGAGGACCGCCTAAGGCTTTGCTTTCGACTGCAACGCCGTCTGGTGGCAGGTGGACGTCAGAAGAGGATGATACTGTGCGCAGAATGAAACAAGGTGATCGTTCTTGGGCCGAGATACAGCGTGCCCTTCCCCATCGTTCCCAGGGCTCGATCCAAGTCCGGTATTTGACTAAATTAAACAAAACGGGTTGATGAGGTCAGACATTAGGTTGGCTCGATAGGACATCAAGACTCCCTGAAGATAAATGTTATTTCTCTGTTCGCGACTCGGTTTGAACTTCATCGACAAGTGAACGCTTTCCCATGATTTTCATCCAGTGGTTGACACCCATGTCTTGCACCCGATACCACAATCCAACAGACAGACTTGGCCTGAGCTTACTATCACTAGCATTTCCAATAGCTTGTTTCCCCTGGCGTTGAAAGCAGCCACTCGTAAGGAACTCTTAATCATGGCTTTCCTGTAGCTGTGGCGGCGGAACAGCTGGGCTGTGCTGGGGAACACCGTTATCACGCATTCGTCGTAACAGAACGGACGCGGTTGTGTAAGCGAGACGCCACCAGAGGTAAGAAAAATAATATCATAATGAGGCGGCATTACGCTCGACATATGGGGACAGAAGCCCGCCTTTCAAATGTCATCGCCCACTGACCATCGGCTAACGACGCCGAGCCCGCCCGCCCGCCACCGCAACGGAGACCCGTCGAGTCGGCGCAACCGTTCTCCGCTCGCGACCCTGAAAGGGCCCCCTGTAACTAGGCGCAGTTTGTGAGCCCAATAGGGTTGCCGAGCAATGGGATATGCAGCTGCGCCAGGTCAATCGCAGGGCTCTGTCATGTTGGAAGTGGAAAGTGCCTGGTAAAGCAGGTGAGGAGAGAGGTGAGAAGAGGCTGGCACGAGTGACAGTATTCACAGTTCTTTGCGACTCGGTCTGAACTGCATTGACAAGTGAAAACTCACGATTTTCCATCCAGTGGCTGATATCTATATCCAATCTATACTAACAGACAACAACGCAGACTTGGTCTGAGTTTAACATCACCAGAATCTTAAAGCCCACTGCTTGTTTCGCCTGACGGTGAAAGCAGCCGCCCGTAGCAGTCGTTGCGCAAAGGATCCACAGTCCGTCCCGCGTAGCCACAAGTTTGGATGATTTCTGCCGGTGGTAGCGTTTGCAACCAGTTGAGGTGTTGATTTTATCATGAATGCCGTTCATCTGGTCTGCGTAATTCAAAGCCCTTATGAGGAGCTCCAAATTGAGGCTGCTAAGGTTGCCTTTGGGGAAATTATGGAGTAACGAGTTGGGCCTAGAAAAGCGGCTAGCCGAAACGATCGACAAAACCTGGCTTGAGAAATGTCGCTGTCGAGGTTTGCTGGACGAAAGCCGCCCTAAGCAACCTAGAAGCAGCCAGACGCGATTCTGAGGTGCTTGCGCGGATCCAGGACAGCTTTCACACCATGGTCAAGGCACGCGCCACGGAAGGACTGCCGTCGATCGAGATTAGTTGCTTCTACGAGGAACTGCCTTTGCCGGGAGTTGGTTTAGTAAGTCAGGCAAAGTTAGGCTAGTCCCCAAATGCTGACGGTCGGCAACAGGTTGTGCCACAAGATTCAGCGATTCTACCTGGGTATGTTCCCATCGGAATCCACAGCGACAATATGGGTATGACCAAGTTCGCCAGTACGAATGATCCTGGGCTTGTGGTTGTTTGTGGAGAGCTGCAACGGTGGCTCAGAGACGCAGACGCAGCCGAGAGACGCCATGCGAATCCACCACTCTCGAGCAACCCCAATGGTGCCAACCAGTACGGCGACTGGAATCGCCAGTATAACAATTTCGGGGCAGGCACGCAGAAAAACGTCGACGGTAACTACTTTTAAGCGAAAGGAGATCAGAATTTGGTACGATCCCGCCCAAGAAGTCTGCATGAGAGGAGCAGGACGACGTGGAGTCCTAATGTCGAGAGTATATAGTAATTCGTGTGAAGAATATTCATACTAAGAGTTAGTTCTATGTTCCTACTCGGAAGTTCTTTGTGTCTAACGTTGTGTGGGATCAGGCAGCCCTCCCAAATCCCACCTCGTGATGCCCCTCCCCCGCAACGAGCATATCACTGATCGCGCCCACATCTTCGCCTAGCTCGAGACCCTCGTACCGCCGACCTCCGAATACCAGAGCGCCGCTCTCTACGGCCCCAGCGGCTCCGGGTACGTCGATAATGCTCCTGCAGTAGCTATTCCAGTCTAACAAACCACCAAAAGGAAAACCCAGGTGGCGCTCGAATATGCCTACCGCCGATGCCGCGATCCCGCTTGCTCCGTCTTCTGGGTCCAGGCCGCTAACGAGACAACGTTCACGCAGGATTACAAGACCATTGCGAGGAGGTTAGGCGTTGCGGATGATCTAGATGGCGAAAAGTTGCTTATGGCCGTTCGCGAGCGCATCGAAAGCGGGCCGCGATGGCTGCTCGTCCTTGACAACGCCGACGACCTAGCGCTATTTGGCATCGCCGCCCGGACGTCCCCCGGCGCATCGCGTAGCCAGGGTGAGGAATCGGTAGAGGAAGTGGCGAGCTTATACGATTACGTGCCGCGAGGTACTACCGGGACGGTGTTGTGGACGACGGAGATTGGCTCCTCGGCCGAGACCAAATCGAAGGATTATCGACAGCACTGAAGGGCTTGAATACACATGGGAGGACATGGATCACTTCGTCCCTTCTGAACATGTCGGATCTTGAGGTGGCCAGATGGGTAGCACGTTCAGAGTGGAACGAAACAAAAAAGTATCACCCAGGCTGGGTTGCGATCAACGAAAGTAAGAATAGGTCCAATTCCGCTTCCCTGTGGTAACCTCACCGCCGCCACTGGACTGCAGCGACAGGAGCCCAGGCGGGTGGGAAAAAAGACGGTACGGACAGACTGAATACAGAAGATAGTAGAGGTCTCCGGACATGCAGAATCTAGCTAGAGTTGGAGTTATCGGCGCATGACCAAGCAGTCGTCCCTCCATCAGCGTTATACGAATCAATGATACCAACAATGGCGCCATAGGTACCAGCAATCATCAGGAAAGTACCAGAAACAATGACAAAGATACTCCAGCCGACCATCAGACGCCAGCGCATAGTAGGGTTCTCCTTACCGCGACTCCAGTTGTCATACAGCCACATGCAACCCATGGGCTGGAATGATAGAAGGGTGCCAAAGAGCGCTCCGGCCAGGGACACGATGCCGTTGAACACGGGGATAGCGCTGGCGAGGATGTAGGCGACGAGGCAGACACCGAAGCTGCAGCCCAGCCATGTAGCCCAGTGAGTGAGTGAATTGGACGTAAGGTGTCTCGATCCACGCAGCATACGGACGAAGATATATTTGCTTGATACCTAACATCAAACTTAATCAATACCCACTACAGGGTGTAAGAAGATGGGGCTTACATGAGCGAGAAGGACACCGCTAACGAGCAATCCAGGGAAGGCAATACCATATGAGACCTTCTTGATCATCTTTCCAGCGGATCCGAGTGCAGGGGAGGCAACATAGGATCCGCAGTAGTAGTAGACGATGATACCGACAACCAAATAGATGACAGTAACGACCGTTTGGCAGAGTGCCAGGGCTCGGGTGTAGAGACGAGGATTTCTCATCTCAGGGATGATAGGGAAAAATGCACCCGTACCGGCGTACGCGAAAATGATACTTGAGACGGCCGAAATGGCCTGGGGGAAGGTCGGGTTGGCAAAGAGCTTGTAGTCAGACTTCCATTCGACATTTTGAGGGGCAGTCGGAGACCGGCCCTAGATGCCTACGGCGATCGTGACAATGAAGACTTTGGGACACTGTTAGTAAAAATGGCAAATAGAGGGATACGTTTACTTACCCGCAACAATAATGGCGACAACACCGATTATCGCGAGCCAAGTAATGCGGCCGAGTGTGCGGATGCTGGAAAGAACAAAAACCAGAATGAAAGCGACGGCGACGAAAATCGCGGTGCAGGCCCCGTGCTCTGAGAGAGCGTTGAGACCAATCGAAAGACTAAGCATGGCTGATCCGGCCGTCATCACGTATTCTGATCACGGTTATCAAAAGACGCCCGACACTGCTAACTCTAGGAAATACTCACGACCCATGAAGGCGAAAGCCAACAGTTCTTTCCCGGTGCGTCCAAATATCAGTTGCCCAACGTCGTCCACGCCGTAAATATGGCGATGGTTAAGCTTGAAAATTCCGACGATATAGTCTGACCAGGTGGTGATGCCGGCGATGGTGCAGAGCACAATCACACCGGGAATCATACCAAGTGTATCGAACACAGATGGGAATGACAAGACACCCAGACCGATCTGAGTCTTCATCATCAAGCCTGCTGTGCCGATCCAACCAACCTAGATGATATGTCAGATTGCGAACACAGCCGGAATAAGGGGTCAGATTACATACATTGCGATAGTTGGGGCCCCCTTCGGTGATTTCTCCAAAGACGGCGTCGTGTTCGACGTCTTCCACCATCCCACCAGCATGATCGGCGTGCAGGTCGGGAGGCGAGCTCTTAAGTTCTTTTGCCATGTTGCCAAAGTTCTGAGTTCAATTGTAGTGGACTTTCATGAAGCTGGGGAATGCCTCTGATTAAGAAGGTTGTCCTGGGGAAGGGTGGAGATTGTTTATATACTTGGTCTTTGGGTGGGCCCACCCCGGATTGCTGTCTGAGTCTGGGGCGTTAGCGCAAGATCACGAGTTAGAATCCACCTATTCGTAGCTGTTGTGACAGATTTGCTCTCGATTTATGAGCCGGCATACCCATGAAACATGGTTAGCGCCATTAGTCAACCATGTTTTGTCAGGGAGTGCGGGGAAGACTCCCAGTTACGTTGGACAGCTACCCCAAAGTTGCGTAACTATCCTCTGTTCCCCAGTTCTTATCCCCCCCGCATAATACCCCATGCCATAAAATGGACCATAAGTTACCGGGGCAAAGTTCCGCCAGAACGGTTGGGGAATGGCGCTGGCTGACCTTAGGGGGGCGAGGCTTCCTTTGGCTCGTACGCTTGGTGGAGAGGAGGAAAGTCTCCGCGGACTTCAGCCAGATTCCGTTCATAACCAATCTTAAGCTTTCGGCAATCTTGCATTAATTCGCCTCGCTTCCGGGGGCGCGGCTTAGGCAACGCAGCAGCATCAAAAGCGGGAGGTTTTGCCGGCGCTATCCCGCCTTAACCTCTTATGCTAATCTGATTGCTGATCTGATTGCTTCTGTTTCGGGAAGATAGGAAGGTCGGATTCGATATTGCGGATGGATCAGGGTATCGCCTGGTCCATAGGTCAGTCACAATCGCAAGAGCGAGTCCTGGGAGCTGATTCTGCTGTTGGCTCACTTAAAGTTCGTTGTAATTCAGGCGTGATTCTTATCTGACAGCTCCTCCGACGCACGTGGCAGCCGCCATCTGGAGGCCAAGCGCACGTCGTGTCGTAACAAGATCAGGGGAATGTGAATGGCCTTCGATAAGTCGACGACGTTGTATCGAATTGGGGTAATAAGGATGAAAAGGGCAGGGTATAAATTAAAGTTTTATAGGCTCTTAAGAGAGAGTATTTACCTATTAGAATAAATATTTAGCTATTAAGCCCCTTATTTTATTAATTTAGCAGATGTTTAACATATTTTAGACCTTGTTAAGTTAATTCATTTATTTATTTTAAATCATACTCATCTTATGCACTTATCACTGCGTCACTTAACAACGCGAACCCAACTGCCTAAACGTCTTCTCCCTCTCGTTCCCTTAATCAGTCAGTGGAGGGGGTGCTAAAGGCGCACCACCAATTAGCTCGTTTCCAACTTCGACCATCTCGACCCTAAGCTCACTGCGAATGCAACACCAGTAGCAGCAATGACAAGGGCAAACGCAACCTTTAGTCCATCCATGTAGCTTCGAATAACCAATAGTATTACGTTTGCATCAAAAATATACCGGATTTCAGTTGCGCCGGTTTGGACGAGCTGCGACTGGGAGACCTGAGGTGCCATCTCGCGCATCTGCTTAAGCATGGTTTGGAGGAAACTGGTTTGAGCGACAGCTATAAGAGTTAATATATACAATTTTTAAGGGATCTTGAGAGTATATGAGGTAGAAACTACGCGTAATATCTTGCATTTATTGCAATACGCGATTTCGGTGATGGGACACGGTACCCTCGTTTCTAGAGCATATTTAAGGAACATAGCTGATCGACATGAACTTACCAATGAGGAAGGCACCTCCTACAGTTTGAAAGACTGTTGGAGAATTTTTAGTTGTTGAGGTCGATAGTGATATGGGAGAATATCAAGATAAGGGTAGCTGAGGAGACTTACAGAGTAGGATGGCGGTCTTAGAAGCCAGGTCCAAATCTCTCGATGTTCCCTGGGTGCCAATCATTGGGACCTGTATGCCGGCACCCCAGGCAAGACCGGCGAGGACCTGGTAGCCAATCCATTTGGTGGAACTGGTTCCGATATCAAGGGTGTAGATCAAGCCCGCTGCGACTGTCGCAATAGCTGCACTAGTGACTAAAATCGGTGCATAAATTCCGGTGTTGGTGATTGAAGCACCAGACACCATGGTAGCGATAGTGACTGCTATGATGAACGGTAGGTTACGAACACCAGACATTATTGGTGAGACATTGTGGATAGACTGAAAATAAATGGGAAGATAGTAAATCAAAACGAAAAAGCCACCGGCGAAGAGGAAAGCATACAAAGACGAGATGTAGAGCGTCCGATCCTTGAGGAGGCGAGGTGCAATCATTGATCGCTCGCCCTGGAACAACTCGAGTGCCACAAAGGCTGCAAGCATGAGACCGGAGCCGGTGAAGAGGCCGATGACCACGGAGGAGTGCCAAGGGTGCTGGATGCCTCCGTATTGCAGAGCGAGCAGGAAGGAGATAATAAAGCCCATGATAAGTGCCGTCCCAAGAGGGTCCATCTGTAGGAACTTCTCCCGAAGAGGTGCAGCCGACGGGACGGCTTGGGGCGGTGTAGAGAAGCAGAGCGATATGATGGCGGCCGAGACGCCTCCGATTGGTAAGTTGATGTAAAAACACCATCGCCAGCTCACTTGGTCAGTAAATGCGCCACCTGGTTCGGAACGTCAGTTACTATTTGAATACGCTAATAGCCGTGTAATAGGTGACAAAGACCAGAGTCCAAAAAAATGGATGAACTTACCTATCAGGGGCCCTAAAACCGAAGCGATACCATAGGACGCCCCTAGAACACCTGTGAGGACTGGGCGCTTCGCCGGACGGGCGCTGAAACCGATGATGATATATGCCCCCGAGCTGATACCAGCGCAGCCGATACCAGCAATGGCGCGGCCTATAATTAACGTCACACTTTGAGGAGCGACTCCACAGATGAGGGAACCGACTTCAAAGATGAAGATGGAGATCAGGAAGCTAATTTTGAGAGGAAAGTACTTGTAAGCCTTGCCCCCTATTCAGGCGTTAGTCTTGGGACACAACGAACCGCCATTTCAATAAGTAGGGCAGGGTCACTTACAAGTTGATTGGAAGGCAGCACTGCATATAAGGAAGGCAGCACCATACCAAGAGACCTCATCGAGGCGTTGGAATTCATCTGTAATCTTCGGTATCGCTGTAGCAACGATAGTTACGTCCAGAATCACCAAGAATATGCTGAGGAATAGGGCGATGATGATGAACCCTAGATTCAGGCCAGACGGATACTCATGACTATCGCCGCTGCCGCCATCTCCTTCAGTAGCAGCTGTCTTGCGTGTCGGGTTGCTAATCTGTGCTTCGCTATCTATATTTATCGGCACGCTATTGGTGGGATTTCTTGCTATGATATCCTCTGTAATTACGGTGGAAGGCGTATCCGGCGAATCCTGTTTGGGGTCCTTCTCGGCATCGGCCACGTGTGTGCCACCTGTCGATGGCATGCTGGGGATACTTGTGTGACGTTTGTATGTGATAGGTAACTATAGAAGCTACCGGTATAGGGGGGGTAATATCGTTATAGTAATGAGAAAACGGTCGATCTAGAAACGAACACTGTTGCTGGGAGGATTTTTGGGCCTAGATTCGAGATGGGGCACGTCTATATACCCACTTACTAAAACTCGATAAAGCTTTGCCAATACGCATCGTTAAACCTTAGCAGGTGCATCTCTTTTCAGAACCCTTGGAGAATTCTAAGCTTTTGCTACGCCCTGCGAAGACTGAAAATGTACTTTTTTAAGTTACAGTCTCTTATATCTTACTTCGCGGCCCTATATACAAGCATGTGATGCATGTGGCGCTGCATTCTTATAGAGGCACTAGTACACATACGTTTGGGTTAGGACTGGAATACGCTTATTGGGCAGTCCAGCAGTAGCTGGCGCGGTAAACTCCACTAATCACGCGCAGAGAAAGGGAGAGCATGTGCAGTGACTCATTTGCCCACCAGCCTTGATTAGGGACCGAATCGCGATAAAGGGCGGCGGTCATTCTTCAGACAACATGGAAAGTTCCGAGCATTGACGGGGGCAGAGCGGCTGGCACACAGGTGTCAGAGGGTAGTGTGGGTCGTTATCGTACTGATCTGTTACATAAATATTGCCTTGTTATTCGTTGGTATCAGATATTTGGATGAATTGTGTGAATTCTGTCACGAGCCCTGATTCTCTGATATATCTCATTGGATGTGTGTATATTCTTGGTTCAGTTGCTTCCCGGGTCTAAGTCCTATATACATCTTTATACTAGGTCTGACTGGAGTATTGCTGCTATAATAATCGCACGCCCCATTATGTAAAATATACAACGTGACAAATTCGATGTTCTGCGTCTTATCCTTACTATACTAATTAGCACTGGTAATGGGACCCCAATACCGATTTTTATAGCCCGTGCACCTCTCTTTTCGCAATCGGCGGCTAATAAGCGGATGAACGTTTTTAATAAGGTTTTGAATTTTACTTCTATATCAAATCTAGACGGCCAGTGGCTAATTGACACGAGTCTCTTGCGTCCAATTAACGCCTGGTTGCGTCATCATACCACCCTCTCGATCTTGCGAAAATCCAATCTTCTCATCCACTCATTTGAATTATGGGCAAGTCAGGTGGCTGCTGTAGGAATCCTTGGGAGGTTTAGGCTTCGGGGCTGGAAGCGCGCCTTCATTCCTGCTGCGAGAGTAAGTGGCTTGGGAGAATGATCAGTTAATTACGTTGACTATCTTCGTTGTCAGCGGCAGTCTTGTTCATGTGATTTTCCCTCTTTGAGTAGCAAGAAGATGTCAAGAATACCAAGAGGTCTATGTCGCCCTGTTATCCAAAATACAGCTAAAGGGCTTTTCCTCTTGGAGTGGATCGAAGGTTTACAATAAGGAGAAGAGTAGGTAACAGATACCTGACAAAATATTAATGTAAAATACGTAATGAGAAAGTATATGCTTTGCAGAATCATTCAATAGTGGTCTAGAGGACATTTACTAGATGAGCAACGAAAATACGATCTGAGCAAATGCATGTGATCAGTCTCTCTGTCATATATATAACCATCATCCCCAGACCTCCAAGATTATAATCTTCTCCGCCTTTTCTATGTTTAGAATCTATCACTAGCAACAAATAAGGCTTTCCGTCTCGCTCAGCACCAAATTCATTCCTCCTCGTCGCGATGTCTTACCCAACCAAGCCTTGCTTCGTCGGTTCTTTTAAGGGCTGGGACGATGAGGCACTGAAACATCCTATTATGCGATACTTGAGCAACCTCAACACTGACTTCTGCGAGACCAAGGTTGCCCACTCGGAGCCGCATACTAAGTGGTTCACCCAGGACTTCGAGTTCCAAGCCCAAAGTGGGCAGACCCTTAGAGGAGAGGAGGCCTGGAAGAGGTTGGTTCATACGTCCAGGTTCTATGACAAATTTTCAATGGAGCCCCTCTCCGCTTTCATCCAGGATACAGAAGGTGGATATGATGGTATGGTGTACGGGAATATATACACCAACTTCATAGAACCAGGAGAGAAGAACTATGCGGATAATAAGGGAATTAATTGGGAGCTGCGGGTTAGTATATTGTTTCGGATATGCGAGTCCACCGGCCAACTACTAAACGTGATTTAGATTCCGAGAGCTTATCATCTTACCTTCGTGGAGGATTCTAGCGGGCCACACGGCCTGAAAATCAGCAACCTGGTTATTATCGGGGATACCTTGGGCACTATGGCAGCAGCGGTTCGTAAGGGGGTAGTTTCGCAGGAAAATGCGTTTGGATTTTAGGTAAACATAATAAACCATTACTTAATATTAAACTGTGATATATCTTTTATATTAAATAGGCTACCTTAAAAAAAATAGTTATTAGTAATATATATATATAATAAGTAACTATTATAAATAAGTAACTATTATAAATAAGTAACTATTATAAATAAGTAACTATTATAAATAAGTAACTATTATAAATAAGTAACTATTATAAATAAGTAACTATTATAAATAAGTAACTACTATAAATAAGTAACTACTATAAATAAGTAACTATTATAAATATATAACTATAATAAAAATCTTAACTTTTAATATAGAAATTAAAATAAAAATATAATAGGCTTTTTAATAAATTAAAATAAGTTAATATACTTATCTCTAAAGGCTTTAATACCCTCTTAATAGGTTTTTATATTTTGCCTAGTCTTATTATATATTCTATATTACCTAATCCCCAGTTATACTATCCTTCCTTTATTACTACTTTTTAATAATTTATATCATAAATAGGCTAAAGTTAAAGCCGCAGGTCTTATTAAGTAGAAAATTATTAGCCCTGGCATAGTTCTTAGGGTCTATATAGGGGCCCTTGTGTTCCTTGTAGAAGCTCTTATTATTATAAGAATTAACCTCCTGTCTTTAATCGGGATCTGAAGATGTATTTATTAATTGAATTGCCGTGAATTATATAGTAATTTGGCTGTGAAAGGTTGGAAATTGTTGAACCGGAGATATACCGAAATACCTAGAAGGTTACTAACTAAGTGGCGCGCCTAGTTTTTGGCCCTGTGGTCGGTTTAACAGAAATTGAAGATATTGGTACTCTGCTTGTATTAGCGTAATAATAGGGATAGGGTGGGGCAGGGTATGGAGTGGAGCCTTATGACCTCTTAGGAGATAGTCTGCCTTGTTAAGCCTATATATAACCTTCTACCTCTTACCCCTCACGCAACAACCTTTTTTCTCAAGGCATCCAAAATCATCTTGGGCAGGATAGTCTGCGGTCCAAACGACAGCCATGGCAATCGATCGAAAATCAAATCTCCCATCCAGCAATAGCGGAGATGCTTTAATTCAGATAGAGGCGCCTCCGAGGACTGCAGGCACCCAGACCACCTTGTCGAGCCCATCCGAAGAGAATCAAGACGAGCCATGCCGAACGTGGATAGAGTCATTTATCACAACCATCCTCGTCGTTCTGATGTGGATTCTCGCACCGCCGATACTGAGCTACCATGAAGAAGATAAGGGTACGGATTATTCGGAAACTTATTTTTGTTAACGGGTCAAGCTAACCAATGTAGGTGATGACGACCCGGCAAATAGGTTTCTGCGTCGGTATTACGGCCGGTTTTTATTCCCTTCGACGCCACGCATGGTATTGGTGATGATCACTTTCTTTACACTTGCTGCGGTAACTCTTCACCGGTTACAACCGCACTGGATGCTTTTTAATGGGTGTTTCACCGTGATCACGGTTCGTTTAGTATCTGATGGACTGTCCAGCTTTATTCAGAATGTCGCACTTTCGTCGATGGTTATGGCACTTCTTTGTCACTTGTCTTATGGAATTAAGTGGTTGTTTCAACAAGGTAGACAATGTATAACTTATACAAGGTCCGATGAAGAGCAGCCATTAGTTGTATCACATGGGTTATTATAAGGTTTATTTTATTGGGTTTGTTTTGTTTTAAGTTAAAGAAGTATATTTATTTCTAAAGTATATTATTATACTTTACTAGCTAAATATAACTTAAGTCTTAAAATTAGCTTTAATTATCTAGCTAAGGTAAATCCTAATTTATATTTTATTAGTGTAAAGAGTATTAAAAGTAAAATTTTATTTTAATTAATTTAATATTATTATATATTATATAGTATAATATATTATAATAAAGTAACTCTTGGTTAAGTATTATATTCCCTAATATAACTAATATTAACTTAGTAACATTAATTTATTTTACTTTATATTATATATAATAAAATTAAATTTATTAAGGTTATTAGCTATAGGACAAGGGTTAATTTTATAATGGTAAATATAGGTCTATTAGCATATATATTATTAGCCTAGGCTAAGAATAATATTTAGCTATTATATACCTTTTTTAATAGGTTAATAATACTAATATTAAGTGGCTAAGTTAAATATATAACATAACTTAATAAGCAACGTAGTATAATATTATTAGCCTTATAATATTTATTATATTTTATATTAATATAGCTCTTATACTTATTAAGAATAAGTATTTAATATTAGCCTTTTTAATAAGTATTTATTTACCTGTAATAAAAGGGGCTTTAAAATAAATAAATTAGTTTCTATTAAGTTTATATTTATAAAGTTATAAAGTATTTATATTAAGTATTAATAAATTATTTTATATCTTAATAATTTAGTAATATAAGTTAGGCTTATTATTATAAAGAGATTTTATTAATAGCTAGTATATTAAGGTTTATTTACTATTAAGTAAATATATATATATATATATATTATAATAGCTTATAATTAGGGAAGCAAGGCTTATAATAAGTAAGTTCTTATAAAGTAAATATAATATAAGTGCTTTTCTTAATTAGACTATAATATTACTAATTAAAGTATTTAAGTTATTTAAGATATATAATATATTTAGTTTAGCTTTTTAAAGTTATTTTAATAACTTAATTACTTAAAATATAACTATAAAAGTATTAAATAATAAGGCAAAAATAGCTAAAGATCTATTTTTATATAATTTTAATAAACTTATTTATATAAATATAATTCTTTAAGTTATATATTATTATAATATTACTTATTATTAAGCTAAGCTTTTCATTAGTTAAATTTTCTATTTAATGTTAATTAGGGTTATTTTAGGTTCGTATTATCTTTAAAATTTATAATATTCTAATAAAAAAGGTTTTATAATATAAAATTAATTTATAATAATATTTACTACTTTATTATATAATATTAATATATATACTTTAACTATTATTTAATTATAATAAATAAGTATATTAAAATTAATAATAAGTATTATTTACTTTGTTATAAAAAATATATAATAATATATTAATTAAATATATATATAAAATACTTTTAATAAATATATTAATTAATTAATAATATATAATAAAATATTACTAATTATTATATTAAAAGAGATTTAGTAAATTTAAGTAATTTAAAGCTTATAAGATATAATACTATAATTATTTAATAACATTTAATAATAAAAAAATATAATTATATTAAGTATCTTTAAGTAATATAAAATAATATTATTTATTATTAAAAAGAAATAAAATATAAAATAATAATAATCTAATAAAATAAGTATTATAATTTATAATTACTTATATAATAATTATAGCCTAATCTTTTGCCTTATAGTTTAATAGCTTATATAACTATTATAATAAGGTTATATTATAAATTTAAATAAATAAAAAGTATATTTATTATTAAATTATTTAAAATAATAATACTATTAATATTATAAGGTATAATATTATAAAAAGATAATTATTTTTAATTAAGGTTTTTTTTTTCCCTTACCTTTAGCCTTATATAAGGCTATTAAGCTTTTTAGCTTTTTTATTAATAACTTAAATAATAAGACCCTTATAGCAGGCTATTATTAGAAAAATCAAAATTAAATAAGATTTATCTGCCTTAATAATATAATTACTGCCTTAACTAAGCAGTACTAATACTAGTTATATCTTAATAGCTAAATTAATCTTTTTTATTTAACTTACTTAAAAGAATATTATGCCTAATTTATTTATTATAAAGTATATTACCTAACTTAACTTTTTATACTTATTAGTTATACTTATTAATATTAATTATAGTTATTATTATAATATTTAATTATAATAGCCTATAGCCTAATTAAAGCTATTATATAATTAATTATAATCTTATTATTATAATTAAACTAGCCTTAAAGTAGGCTATAAATAGAAATTACTTTATATTATATATAATAGCTATAACTATAAAAAAGAACTTCTTATTAAAAAAGAAATCTAGCCTAATTAAAATAGCTATTTTTAATTAGAATTTAATTAAGTTAATTAGTTATATAAATCTAGGTTATCTAGGAGATATAATATTTCTAGCTTAAATTAACTAAAAGCTATTTAAATTAAAAAAGCTAGAAAAAAGCCTTAAGGTATAACTAGCCTCTAATAGGAAAAGAGGCAGTAATAAATATTGCCTTTAGAAGTAACTTAGCCTAATACAAAAAGTAGCTTATTACTATAATTATAAAGGCAAAATAGGTATCTTATATCCTTCTTATTAGATATAAATAATATATAAATTAGGCAAGTTATAGTCTTAGATTATAAGAGCATAAAGACACGGAGTTTATATATAAAGTTAAATAAATACAGGGTAAAGGGAGGGTTTAGAAATTTAAAGAAATTATATTAAGTTTTATATAAATTAGTTAGTAAACGTTAAATTTACTTAAAGTTATAACTTAATAAATTAAATATATATAATAGGGCATATAACTAATTAACCCTATATATAAAAATAAATAAAATAAAATTAGTAAAAAAGTAATAATTTAAACTAGGGTTTAATTAAGTTTAATTAAAAAAATAGTATATTATATAACTTTAAAAAAAAATATAAAAAAGAATACTTTAATATTAAAATACTAATTTAATAATATAAAAAGTAAAGCTAAATAGATAAAAGTAAAATAATATAATAAAAGTGTTTTTTTAATATAATATTAAAAGGTATTATATATTATATTAAAAAAATATAATAACCTTAATATTAAGTTTTAGTAAATTATATAATAATTACCTTAAATCTTAAGATTTAATTAAATAAATACCCTTAAGTTTTTTTTTTTTTTATATTTAACTTTATAAAAGGCTATTTAGCTTTTTCGCTGTTTTACTAATAACTTAAATAAAGAGATCTTTATAGCAGGCTATTATAATAGAAGTTAATATTAAAGAAGGTTTATTTGCCTTAATATTATAATTACTATCTTAATTAAGTAATATAAATATTAGCTATAAGTTTCTTAATAGCTAAAATAACTTTCTTTCTTAAACCTACTTAAAGAAATATTATATCTAATTTATTTATTATACTTAAGTATATTATCTAAGCTAGCCTTCTCTCTTTTAACCCTTTTTACTAATAGTATAATAACTATACTACCTTAATACCTCTATAAAATAACTTATAAGTATATAATTATATTTATTATATAATTAGCTATAATTTTAATTTAATTATTAAACTTACCTTAAAGGTAGTTAATAAAAGAATTATAATATAATATATATACTAATTACTATTATTATAAATAACTTCTTATTAAATAATAGATTTAATTTTATTAAAATAATTATTAAAAATTATAGCCTAATTTAATTAATTAATTATATAAAAAAGAGATATTATATTAATTTAATTAATTTAAATTAAGTTAATAATAAGATATTAGGTCTTAAAGATTTAGAAATAGTTCTAAAGGGAGGTTTTCTTTTTTAATTAGATAAGGCAGCTCTCCTTATTGCCTTTATAAGCCTAAATTTAATTATATATAAAGAGTAGCTTCTTAGTATATTTATAAGGGCAGCTAATATTATTAGAGAGATGCTATTAAATTAGTAAGGATAAATACAAGGTAATAACATGGGTTTTATAAAGGAATTATATTAAGTCTGTTTATATAAGTTAGGTACTAAAAGTTAATTAATTAAATACATATAGTAAGACATGTAACTAATTAACCTTATATATAAAAACAGATAAAGTAAAATTAGTAAAAAGGTAGTAATTTAAACTAGGGAATTAATTAATATAATATTAAATCAACCTATATTTATTCCCTTCTTATATTTACTAAGACATAATAATATTATTTAAATTCTAAGAACTAAAACTTTAATAGATTATATTAAAGACGCTAGTTAAAAAAGTATTCATTAATAAAGTAATTAGAAAAAATAATATATATAAGTATAAGGCAAAATAGACATCCAACATTAAGTAATGAACATTACTAACACAATTGCATAAACAGATATTATTAAAACACCATTGCCATTGCCTCCTGCTGCATTCTCTTTATCTTCATTTTGTTCAGTTTGAACGGGAATATCTGGTAAAGTGACTGATGCACTCTGCCCGTATAATGTCATTGTATATGGATCATGACTGAGGGTTGCATGAGCTGAGTTGATCTCGGTTGCAGAATCTGTCGATGAATCCGTCGCTGACATTATCGGGAGCTTGGCAGTTTTGTTGTATTCCTTTTGCTGAGAGATAATGCTGGAAGGGATTGGCGCAACCGTATATCCATCATCTTTGCAGCTCGCTCGGTTCCTCTCGTCTGTATCGAACATGAATTCACCCATAACGCTTCTGCAATCGTAACAACTACAACTCTGGTGTTAACAATGACTTTGGTGTAAACTTTGGCATCCGGCTGCTCTTACGCTTTCTGCAAAGGAACCCATCCTGACTTGCAGGTGCAGTCATAATACTTGGGGCCGGTCTCATCTCTGCATTTTCGATCGACGTTGTTGTATGCTTCGCAAATAGAGCCTTTTCCTGTGCAGTATTCGCGGCCCTCTTCACTAATCAAGGCGATAGACAAATGGGCGATGAAGAGGCTAATTAGCACTCTACGAAACACGCTTAGCCCCATTATGATCTCTCAGTTGCGATCCTGTAAATGTGAGAGTTTGAAAACTGTGTACACATACCCGAT